TTCATTACAAATCCTCTGTTGTTCTGACCCAGCAGAGGATGGACGGATATCCTGTTGTTGTCGTGCTTGAGGGGAAAGTTTGTGCTGGGTCCAGTGTTCATCAAAGGTTTTCACAAACCCGACATAATAAAAGAAGGAAACCACGGAAAATACAAGACGAGGTCGTATCTAAGTTTAAGGAGAAAAAGGGCCATAACATTTGTTGTGGTAGTTTTATTTTAAAGCAAAAGTCTGAGTCCATCTGAGGAAGTAAGAAATTGAAATTTATTAAAAGGGAAAAAAGGGAAAGGGGGAATCATTCATTTACATAGACCAAGTTATAGCATACAATCCTCCCAAAATTCTGTGGAAATTATGATTTACGGATGTTAGAACTACTCGTAGGAAGTGGTTTTGATAGCTAATTGAAGCTAAACATGGATTCCAGTATCGGGGCAGAGTATTGGTGATGGCTTAAATAAGTAGTGGACACAGCCAGAGAGTTTAACACAAAATATAGTTATAAAAGAAAATAAAACAATCAGTAATTTACATAGATCATGTGATAGCATACTATGCTAAAGTGAGTAATTATAGCCAAATTCTAACAATATGAGGCACCAAGCTGCCTTAAAGTAAAACAAATCATGGATTTTATACCCCTCTGAGTCTGAAATTAGACGTAAAGTCCGTCCCTTCTCCTGCATCTGTATTAAACAATCCTCCAGACAAAAGATTCTCTGATACCTTGAAGGAAGGAAGTACCTTTAAAATCTTTAATTGTGGAAAGTCACTAGAGAGTAATTAAGACAGCGATTCTACATATATTGATTTCCCTAACACATTTGATTAAGAACGAGGAAAACCTCTTCCCCTCCTCGGTTCCTGTTTAATTAAGGTGTCAGGTGTGTGAGCGTTAGGCCTCAGCTGCTGCTAATCCAATCCCCTCTGTAATAAAGACCGGCCTCGGACTCCATCGCTCATCCAGAACCGGAGCTAACTCACCCGCCTCCATCAAGCCTGAAACGCCGCCGGCTGTAATCCTCCGAAACAAAAAACTCAGCGGAGCTCGGACTGTGTTCTGCCTCTGTGTCCATCCCCAATTCTGGCACAGAACCGGACACGAACAGGACCTTCTGGCATGCTGTGCATAAGAATGAAGCCTTCCCTGAAGCACCAGAGGAGAGAAAATCCCAATCCGGACGCCAAACGTTTAAAACTCTGTGAGTCTGATCATGTGATGCTTCTTTTTTGAGCCATGTAGCTCCTCATTTTATCTACAGGAACAAGAGAACACACGTTCCCGGTTTGGGTTTGTCTTTGAGTAGTGGACCATGGAGAGAACTTCCCAACTACTGTTTCTTAAAAGAACGATCTTGAAAATTGCCCCAGTTAGCCTGAGTCTTTAGCTGGAAGCCTGAGAATAAACCAGAGCAGATCAAGAGTACAAATATGACATTTATTGGTCACAAGCAGAGTAAATCAGCTGGGCTCTAACAGACAAAAGCTCCCGGAGGATCTCAGTTAGCAAAGAGCCTCCATTTCCGGGTGTGATGGACAGTTTTCCTCTGGGCCTCCAACAGGAGGACGAGTGTTATTGGCCAGTTAGCTCTGACATGAACAGGCCAGGTCCTAATTCATGCAGGTTTTGGTGGAATGTGATAAGAAAGTGAGAATGTTGAGCTTAAAGACGAGTATCTACTGTAACAGAGAGAGGAGAGGGCCAGAGAGTTTAACCCAAAAGTAGAATTCTAAAGGGAATAATATAAATCTAAAAAGATATAAGACAATCAGTCATTTACATGGTATGTTAAGTTATAGCATACTATGCTAAAGTGAGTAACTATAGCCCGGTACTAACACCCCGCTCGGTTGAACGGGTTTGTCTGTCTGTTCATTTTGTCTGAACGTGCTAAACGACTGTGGAAAAGCGCCGGTCCCGTGGACATTAGCGGTGGTGACGGATGGTAAACATCGTCCCGGTGATAAGAGGCCGTGAGGGGAGGGAATGAACGGCGTCGAGCAAAGTTTTCCCACCGAGTGGCGGCGCTTTGAATAATGAAACGAGCCTCGGGCAGAGTGCTTTTTTCTGTCTGTCAGAGTGCGAGCGGACACGACTCAGGTGCCATAATTCACGTCTGTGCTCCGTGGGGGGGGGGGGCACAAACAAAAGGATTTATTAAAGGGGGACATATTATGCAAAACCAAGTTTTTAATCATTTGATTATGTACATTTGGG